GGAGAGGTTTTTGCTATAAGGCGCGTGCGCTCGCCAGAAAGACAGAGATAGAAAGCAAGAAATCACCCCCCCCAGGGGGGATGGCCACGCCGCAGTCCCTTTCTCCTCCATTCTCCTCTTGGGATCTCGGGCACACACACACGCATGAATGCACACGTACCCAGCATGAGTTTTAGGCCACCGGGACTCAAACCATGGTCGACTACATGGGAGTCCAGCGACATAGCCATTACGCTAACTGCTGGTCCCAGTAATTATTATTTTTTAGTAAACCTTTAGGGGTCAGCAGGTGGTGTGGTGGGTAAAGCACTAGACTCCTACATGGCTTACAGCAGCTTGAAAATCATGCTGGGTGAATGTGTATGAATGCCCAAAATCCTGAGGGGAGAATGAAGAGATTGGTGGCTTGGCCATCTCCTCTTGGGGGGATGATATCTTACTTTCCCTCTGTGTCTCTTAGGCAAGTGTTTTGTTATGTGCCCTATGGCAGAAACCTAAAATATTAAAACAACAAAACAAAATCCTTTAATTTAGAAAGTAAAAAAAAAAAAAGGAAGAAAGGCTAGCCTGTGGCTTAGTGGTTAAGGGAGTCAGAATGCACATGCTAAGCACATGGTTTGAATTCTGGCCCTGGCAGCTTGAAAAATGCCAGGCTTGTGTGTACACCTAAAATCCCTATAGGATGGAGAAACAGAGGAAACTAAACTTCGAAAATGTGAACAGAAATTGTATTTGGTTAGTTTGCTTACAGGTGCATCATAGGAGGTTCTAAGATCCCCTCCACCACCTTCACCTGTAAGAACTCAATAGGTTGTGAGGCCAGGAGGTGGTGTGGTGGTTAGGGTACTGGATTCTCACATGGATGACCACAGTTTGAGTACTAGACCCAGCAGTTTGGAAACCATGCCAGGTGTGTGCATGCCCCAGATCACTAAAGAATGGAGAAGGGATTGTAGTGTGACCATTCTCCCCAGGGAGTGATTTCTTACCTTCCCTCTCTTGTCTCTGGTAAGTATATATGTTCTGTGGGAAAAAACCTTCTTTAAAAAAAAAAGTCTAACAAGTTTCAATATGTTGCTGTACTTCAGCTAAGATTTTTTTTTTAAACAAATTATTTAATTCCATTTGTTATTGCTTTTTAATTTGACCAGAGAGAGACCTAGAGAAAGGAAAAGGAAGAAAGCAAGCTGCCAGGTCTGGGACTTGGAATTATGGTTGGCCATGTGGGAATTCAGCATCCCAACCACCATGCCACCAGCTGGCCTTTTTTTTTTTTCTTAAGGCTTCATTCACTTTATTTTTCTTGTATGAAAATCCTATGTTGTAACCACAGCTGGAGTCTGAGTCTGCTGGACGGAGACTCTAATGTGGGTCTTGACAAGATGTTCAGTGAATTTCTTATAGGGAGACTTGGTAAATGGTCTCTTTCCAGAGATTGGGGAGGTCGAATAGCTGTAGGTATTGGAGATGGCATTAAAGGTGGCCTTGGCAAAGTTGCCCAGGATGGCGATATAGCTCTGGGCTGAGGTTTAGCAGTTGATGCCAGCCATCAGCAGCAGCTTCTTGGGCACAGGATCCGATGATGCCAGTGCCTCTGGGGGGCAGGGATGAAGCACACCAGCACAGAGCCACAGCAGCTGGTCATCATGCAAGGGACAGTGCTGGGCTTGCGGATCTTATTCCCACAGTAGCCTCTCCACACTGGGACAGTGGAGAGCTTCACCAGGATGATGGCCCCATGGGTGGCAGTGGCCACCTCCTTGGAGCACTTTACACCCAAACCAACATGGCCATTATGGTCCCTGATTACGACAGAAGCCTTGAACCTGCCCTGCTGGCTAGTGCAAGTGCTCTTGGCCCAGGCATGATCTCAGAAACCTCATCCTTGAGAGATGCCCCTAGGAAAAAAATAAATAATCTCAGACTCCTTAATGGGCAGAGAAAAGAGGTAGATCTCCTCCAGGGACTTGATCTTTATGTTTGTGACCAGGCTGCCTACCTTGGTGACTAGGATCCTCTCTTTTTCCTTGGATTTGCTTCTGCAAGTTCTGCAGCCTCAGCCCAGACCATGACCCCACCAGGTGCAATCCCCTCTACAGAAGCCACCATATCCTCCTATCTCAGGGCCTTGGGGCCTCTGGGCCATGCTGCTGTAGCAGTGCCATCTGCCATTTGTTGTTTTCCCAGAGAAGCAGCCCAGCTAAGATTTATTACAGCAAAAAGGTACCAAGCAAAATGAGCAATGAGAAAAGTTATGTGGAGTATAGCTTGCAGGAAACTGGGTATAAGCTTCCAAGAGTCACATGGGATATACTTGAAATTCAACACAGGATATACTTGAAATTCACTGACCACCAAGATGAGACAACGCTTGTGAGATATTATTGATTAGTGAATCTCATCTGATCTTAGGAGTTCAGGAGATTTTATGTGTGTGTGTAGGGGAGTGGTGTCAGTCATGAAATTCCCTTTTAGCTTGCAGATGACAAAAATCCACACTGCAGAAAAAAACAATCTCCTAAATTTTATGTTCACCGTTAAGCCACGTGGTATATAGCTTAGGGCACAGATCTGTCTTTTTAGTTGGCGTTGTGGGATAGTGGTCTGTCTCTCTTTTTTTTAAAAGAACTATTTAATCATTATTATTATTACTTAATTTGCTATTGGGCATGTGCACTCTCCAAAGAGTGCGCGCTTGAGAAAGCAAGCCACCAGGTCCAGGGCTATGTAAACACGATCAACAATGTGGGTATCCAGGCCCTAACCACTGTATCACCTGCTGACCCAGTAATCTAATTTTTTATAATTATTTTCTATGTACAATTGATCTATTAATAATTTTTTTACTTTTTTATATTCATATTTGAAAGGAATTACTTTTTCTAGCACTTTATTTACTTTATCAATCATTTTTCTAATATTACTACTTTAAAAAAATTACTAATTTACTTAATTCCATTTGATATTATAATTAATATTATTATTTTAATTTGACCAGAGACAGACAGACAGACAGACAGACAAACAGACAAAGGGAAAGTGAGAAAGTAAGCCTCCGGTTCCGGGACTAGAACTGCTATTGACCATGTAGGAATCCAGCACCCTTAACTACCATTCTGCTGCTGGCCCCTCATCTTTCTATTAAATAAGGTTACTTTTAGGTTTAAATAACATTCCTTTAATAAAAAACATTGTAGGGGCCAGCAGATGGCATGGTACTTATGTTGCTGGACTCCCACATTGCTGACTACCCTGGACCAGGGTCTTTGAAACTCAAGCCAGGCATGTGTGTGTGCAGGAGGAGAATGGAGGAGAAAGGTTTGCGGTGTGGCCATCCTCTTGGGAGGTGATTTCTCACGTTTCCTTCTTAATGGCTTGCTCACACTCACTTGTGTGCTCTCTCTCTCTCTCTCTCGCTTGCTCGCTCTAGCAAGCATACATGCCCTGTTGCAAAAACCTCAATAAATTAAATAAAATCCCAAACAACATTGTAATATTTCTTTTGCTTGTATATTGGAAACATAAGGTTATCTAGAAAAACTTGCTAGTGCTGGTATAATTGGCACTTACTTTTCTAGGAGACTACTTTAACTCATCAGTGTCCATTAGACCCAGTTTTAGTTTTTTACTTTATTTTTTTGAGCAGTCCTGATTATTTATAAGGATCAATAATTATTACATTTTTAGAAGTATTCAAAAGAACAAAAAGAATTTAAAAAACTAAAGTTTTTTTTTAAATTATCACGTGGATTCATAGGGTTATTTTTACAAATCTGATAACTTAAAATCATAGTCATTACCCCCCTTTATTTATTTATTTATTTATTTTTAATAATTATTTTATTTTTTATTTATTCATTCATTTAACTTTGTTTATTCATTTGACCAGAGAGGGACAGAGCGAGAGAGAAGGAGAGAGAGGGAAAGTGAGAGAGCAAGCCTCCAGGTCCAGGACTGGAACCGTGGTCGGCCATGTGGGAGTCCAGCGTCCTTAACTACTACTCCACCTGCTGCCCCTCCTCCCCTTATTGTAAAATATATTCTTGGCTCTTTTTTTTTTTTTTTTTTTTTGAGAGATTTTTTCTATAGGATGCGTGCACTCGCCCGAAAGACTGAGACAGACAGACAGATGGAAAGCGAGAAATCACCCCCCCCCCCCCCAGGGGGGAGGGCCCCATCCACCAGGAAGGATGGCCATGCCACAATCCCTTTTCCATTCTTCTCCTGGGATCTTGGGCACACACGCACACGCGCCTGGCGTGAGTTTAAGCCACTGGGTTCGGGACTCTTACCGCAGTCAACCACATGGGAGTCCAGCGACATAGCCATTACGCTAACTGCTGGTCCCTGTTCTTGGCTCATTCTAATTATTAGTGCAGGTGGTAAGATGATGCTGCAGGTTACTGGGACCATGTAGGGGAGCTCTGACTTGGATCCAAGATTGGCTTAGACAATGGGTATGCCTGCATGTCCTTGTGATCCTGGCTGACTGGAATGCTAGGGAAAGGAATTCTAAGATCGTGAGAAGGGAAGGGTTCTTGTTTCACTTGGTGTATGTGTGTTTTTGTGTGTCTGTGTCTCTTATTTTCATGAAATAAATAAAACTTTAAAGAATAAAACACAGCTTTTTTTTTTATCTTAGGAGTTATTTTATCATTACTTTCTATTCTTAGCTATGCTAATAAATTTTAAAATGAATGGGACCAGCAGATGATGTAGTGGTTGTGTCGCTAAACTTCCACATGGCCCACCATGGTTCTAGTCCTGGACTCAGGCTTGAAACTCACGCTGGTCACATGTGAGTGTCCAAAATCCTGAGAGGGGAATGGAGAAGAAGGGATTGTGGAATGATTTCTTGCTTTCTGTCTCTCTGTCTCTGAGGAGCGCATGTGCCATATAGGAAAAAAAAATCTCTCTTAAAAAAAAAACCCCAAAATTCTAGGAGGGTGTTAATTCTCCCCACTACGTTAATTTTCATTACTGCTTTCATATCTGTCCAGAACCCCTCGTCCAGTCATCGTGGAGCCCATGGAGCAGTTTGATGATGAAGATGGTTTGCCAGAGAAGCTAATGCAGAAAACTCAACAGTATCATAAGTAAGATATTATTAATAAAGATATTTTAGATATGCCATCAAGAATGTTTATCAAATTACTTTTGTTATCAGGTACTAATGGATTATAAAATGTGTGTAGTTATACAATCTTGTTAATACATTGGCCTGGTCTACATGATAGGCTCATGTTCTTTTTAATTTTGCTTAGAAAAGTTTCTCCTTTTATAACTGGCAGGGACGGGTATGTAGGAGGAGATTATTAGGGAAAAAGTGAAACCTAGATAATACGAAGCATTTCTTAAGTTTGTGTACTTCAGCTATATTTAATTAAAATACTCGGGTTGGGTAGGGAGGAGTGGGGAGTTTCTAGTTAAATACCCTGGCATAGGGGGAAAATATCTTAGAGGTTATAAAAGGCAATTTGTAAAATGTTAGGTTTACCAGTCGTCTTCTTATTTTTATTTTTTTTTGGTTTTGAATTTGCTATAGGGTGCGTGTATTTTCCAGAGAATGAGAGAGAAAGCACCCCCTGCCCAGGGGAGTTGGCCACTTTGCAATCCCTTCTTTATTCTTGTCTTGTGATTTTGGGCATGCGCAAAACATACCCAGCATGTTTTTCAAGCTGTCAAGTCTCAAACTGCATAGTCAGCCATGTGGGATCTAGTGGCTACTGGCTGGCCCCTAATTGATTTTTTCACTTAGTGTGATACAAATATATTTACATAAATTGCCTGTATGAGAGAAAGATAGTGTATGTGTGCGTGTGTGTGTGTGTGTGTGTGTGTGTCTACATTTTTTGTTATAAAACATGTGTGCTTGTTGGAGAGAGAGAGAGAGTGAGAAAGCATCCCCATAAGGGGAGATCATGTCTCTTCTCCGTTCTTTAGGATTTTGGGTTTGCATACATACAAACATGGCTTTTTTTTTTTTTTTTTTTGGAGAGATTTTCACTGTAGGGCGCGTGTGCTCGCCAGACAGACAGAGAGAGACATAGAGATAGAAAGCGAGAAATCATCCCCCAGGGGGGATGGTCACGCTGCAATCCCTTCTCCATTCTCCTCTCGGGATCTTGGGCATGCACGCACACGCGCCCGGCATGAGTTTTTTAAGCCACCGGGTCTGGGACACGAACCGCGGTCGACTACGTGGGAGTCCAGCGACATAGCCATTACGCTAACTGCTGGTTCCCCAAACATGGCATTTTTTAAGACACTGGGTTCAGCACTTGAACTGTGGCTGTGTGGGATCCAGCCACCTTAACCACGAGGCCACCGTCTGGCCCCTGACTCTGCATGTTGTGTGTGCGTGTGTGTACGTGTGTGTGTATATACATATATGTATATGTATATAAGGTTTTTGCCATAGGGCACGTCCTCTTGCCAGAGAGATACAGTATGGTTTTTGTTAATCTTTGTATTACTTAAACTTTTTTTCATTTGCGAGATTTTTACTGTAGGGCATGTGTGCTCACCAGAGACCAAGATGGAGAGTGAAAAATCACCCCACCCCCCCAATAAGGATGGCCACACTGCAGTCCCTTCTCTTTCATTTTTCTCTTAGGATTTTGGGCATGCATGCATGCGCATCTGGCATGAGTTTCAAGCCAGCGGGTCTAGGACTTGAATTGAGATTGGCCTTGTAGGCTAGTACCCTAATCACTACACCACCTACTGGCCCGTAACTTTTGTATCATTGCAACTTAGGCCACTGCCTAGCATGCAGTACAAATTTAAAATAGTATACTTTTGGATTCAGGAAATAGAGAACTAGAATTATAAGGTATGATGAGATGTGGACTTTTCAGACAGTATTGTTTATGTGATTTAAGTATCCCAGCAAACCTTATAAAAATTAGTTATATTCCTAATTTTGCTACCTTTCTTTTTTTTTTGGCCAGAGGGTGCACATATTCATGTGTGTGTATTCGTGCATACACATAAGGAAATACCCCCAGATGGACGGGTTCATGTTGCAGTTCCTTTTTCCTCCTTTTCTCCATCTTGTCAGGGTTTCAAGTTTGCATGCACACGCATGACCCTGGCTTGCTTTTCATTCAGTCTTTAGACACTAGGAGTCATTACATGTATAAATAACTTAAATAAATAAATACACAAACAAATAAATAAATAAAAAGGTAAAAAAAAAAAAAAAAGAAAAGAAAAGAAAAAGAAGCTAGGGATCAAACTGTGGTTGTCCACTTGACCTGGCTCCCTTAACCACTAAGATATAGGGTCAACTGTAGTATATATATTTTTATTGGTGTATTGGAGATATGTGCCTATTGATACGTTCTTTAAAAACATTTATTTATTTAATTTTTGAGATTTTGAAGCTGCCAGGACTTGTGGAGTGAACACAGTTAGCCATGTGGGGATTCAGCGCCTTAGCCACCACACTACCTGCTGGCTTCCCCCTATCAATACATTTTAATATTGTTGTTGGAGCCAAGAATAAAGAATTTCTTTGAATATCAGATATATTAATAGGCTTTTATTAAAATTTGGTCATTTTATCATTTATTCATTTAAGAAATATATATTGTGTGACAGATTATGCTAGATATTGTGCTAGATACTTGAGGTACAGCAATCAACAGTTTTAAAATTTTTTTCTTATGATTTATTTCATTTTATTAATTATTATTATTATTACTACTTTTAATTTGACCAGAGAGAGGAAGAGAGGGGGGAAGTGAAAGCAAGCTGCTAGGTCTGGAACTCGAGCCACAGTCGGCTCTGTGGAAGTCCAGAACCTTAATCACCATGCTGCCTGCTGCCCCCCCCCCCTCCCCCGCTCTCTATCTTTTTTAATGTGTGTGTGTGTGTGTGTGTGTGTGTGTGTGTGTGTGTGTTTAAAGTTTGTTCATTTCTTCCATAACTGAGAAAGGGTCAAGAGAGAGACTATACCTAAGAGCGTTTTCATTCAATGATCCACCTCTAACCTCATCCAGCTCTGTGTCATAGGCATGCACACACCTGGTGTACCCAGAGAAGTGTCTGGACATGAACCTGGAAATCTCCCATGTTGGTCAGCTTCACAGAACAGCAGTAAAACAAAATGCCACCATTCTGGCACCTGCACAGATGTTTTTGTTCTGATTGATTTATGATCTAGCAAGGGAAACAGGTATTAAACAATGAGCTACCTTTGCAGTAAGTTATGCTTTTATTTTTCAGCTCAGCCAATTAACCTCAATAACACATAACACTCAGTAAACTGTAGCTGCTTTTATTAGTAAAGAAAGTTTCTAGACAGTTAACTCAGGACATACTTGATTCATATGATGTAGGTTTCCTTATTTAAAATTGTTAGTTGAGTAAAAATCAGGAAGGTCTTAGTGGAGTTAATAATTATGGGAGTGCAGATTTGTAGCATCAGATTGTTTATAGTATGAATCCTGGTTTCATTATTTATTTATGGAGTATCTTTGAGTAGTTTGTCAAAATCCAGCCTGTTAAATGTACATCACAGTATTGCCATGAGGTAAATCAGGTATTAATAGAATACCAGACTGACAGTATTGTCTTGAATATTGCAAGTGCTTACTGTTAATTTGTTTTTACATTTCAAACATACATTTCTATGTGTTTTTAATGTTAATTTAGGGAAA